AAAGTTTTCAGCTTGAGGGTTGAAAATCTTTGTTGTCTCCTGGCTGAGTGCCCTAGGCAGCAGGTAGGCTACAGATCTAGGTTGGAGCCATCGTTCCTTCTCAGATTGGTATGTTTAGAGGAGTTTATGTGCAGAGAAAATAAGAAAACTGTTCACCATTTCCTTTTATTGGTAGGTTTGCCATCCCAGTCCCCTAAATAAGCCCAAACTGTCAGAGCCTGTCATACCTCACTAGGGATATCCATTGGGACAACATGAACTTCTCAGTTGTCTCATACTTGTCCCCAGTGCTTCTCTAAAGCAACTACTCTGCTGCATGGAAATATTTTGCTCTTTGTCCTTGCCTGGAGTCATCACATTGGTGGTGATTTAAGTCTGCTTTAATTAAAATACAGGCAGGATATATATTCCATCCACTATGTCCAGAATTATTTTTTTTTTGTCAAGATTTTTGGAAAATGACTTTTGCTCTCTGGAATATCCTGTGCTCAGTTTCCTGACTGGGATATTGACTGTTAAAAGAAAGTTCCTGTGGAAATTTATCTGAGTGTGGCCTACATTTTTAACCTAAACATATATATATATATCTTAAATAAAACCTATTCAGCTTTGTATTCCTCAATAAAACTTCTTCTGCAAGATGGAGTGGAGGGTGATTATATATGTATTTATATCTCTTCAGTGGCACAGCTTAAGGGCAGTGGTGATGTGTGTGTGAGAAGGGCTGCAGTGCAAGCTAATAAGTATTTTTATTGTTTTTATCACACCAAACAGTGCAAAAACATAAAACACTTCCTGCCCTTCCTGTTGATGTTCTGTCAGTGATGTCACTTACACTCCACTAAAAATTTCCAGAGCCACATAATTACGCCATGCTCACGGAATTCATATTCCCTACCTCAGGTAAACATCCTGTTTGGAAATAAACGTGGTCTGGATGTCCAGGAGAGTGAAATTCAGGCACAAAGGAAGTATATTTGTAAACAGAATCCATTGTTGACTGAGAGAGGGGCTTTTAATACAGCGGAAAAAAATCAGAACCTTAAAAACAGCACTTCCAGAAACCTGTTTTGAAAAGCATTCATATATTTGATCTCTTACTGAAAAGGAAATGCAATACAAATTGGGGAATTTGAGCTGTATACAATGGCATAACTAGCATTCTTCTTGGGAGGCAGCTAACAGCAAGAAAAGAAAAGAAGCACTTAAATTAACCTGTTCTGCTCCAAGTTATGGAATGGGTGGAACCTATTTCTAGCTGTTATTTTAGGGTGGATCTGAAATTACTTTTTTTTGCCCTATCATGCTCTCCCAAAATGTAGCTAGCTCCTCTGCATCTTATACCCCCTGAGCATAGAATCATAGAGTCATCAAGGTTGGAGGAGACCTCTAAGATCATCCAACCATTAACCTGTCACTGCTGGAACCCCTAAACCCTAACCCAGATCCTCCAGTGCCACATCAGACACCTCTGAAACACCTCCAGGGATGGTGACTGCACCACCTCCCTGGGCAATATCCCAGTGCTGAACACCACAACAGGGAAAACATTTCTCCTCACCCCCAATCTGACTCTGCCCTGGCTCAGCTCAAGGCCATTCCCTCTAGTCCTGAAATGACTAGCATGGCATCCTGCCTCTCTTTAGCTTGGTAACCCTGAGCCATAGGGGACCTGACATATTGTCGTAGTTGTGTTGGATGCAGCAAATACTGATCTTGTGCTATGTACTTTGTCTGTTCTTGTGCTACGTGACTGTCTGCTCGTTTGCTTGAGAAGTACAGATCTGCCTCTAAGCATTAAACAGTCTGAGGTGGGAACATCAGCCCTGTCTTTGGTGTTGTGGTGTCACTGAGCAAATGAACAACAGTATCATGGAATCAGTTAGGTTGGAAGGGACCACAATGGATCATCTGGTCCAACCTCTCTACTCCAGCAGGGCCAGCCCAGAGCACATGGCTCAGGGTTGTGTCCAGAGGGTTCTTGAACACCTCCAGTGAGGAGAATCCACGACCTCTCTGGGCAATCTGTTCAGTGCTCAGGGACTGCACAGCAAAGAAGTTCTCCTCATATTCAGGTGGAACTTCCTGTGCATCAGTTTTTGCTGTTCCCTCTTGTTTTCTTGGTTTCCACCACTGAGCAGAGTCTGATCATCCTCTTGGCACTTCCCGTGCATGGACTTGAATACATTGATGAGGTCCTCAAACTTCATTTGTCCAAGTTGACAAATTAAAGAAGGAAAAGGTGGTTCAATGCTTTTCCAGTTTACTGCAGCTGGTTAGTAATTTGGTAAATAAGGAAAGACTTTGATTCCAACCTTCTCCCATTTATCAAAGCTTCACCTAGCTGAGCTCACACAGAATGATGACTTAACCAATTGTTTGGGAGTCTTGTTCAGCCTGGAGAAGAGGCTCAGGGGTGACCTCCTGGCTCTCTGCAACTCCTGCCAGGGCTGGAGAGAGGGGTGGGATGTGTGTCCTGCCAGGGCTGAGGGAGAGGAGAGAGGGAATGGCCTTGAGCTGAGCCAGGGCAGAGTCAGATTGGATGTGAGGAGAAATGTTTTCCCTGTTGTGGTGTTCAGCACTGGGATATTGCCCAGGGAGGTGGTGCAGTCACCATCCCTGGAGGTGTTTCAGAGGCATCTGGATCTGGTGCTGGAGGATCTGGTTTAGGGGTTGCAACAGTGACAGGTTAATGGTTGGACTGGATGATCTTAGAGGTCTCCTCCAACCTGGATGGTTCAATGGTTCTTGTATAGTAGCTGCATTATTTCTGATGCCAAAACGAGTTTGCCCTTCCTGAAAGGGTTGGGTGTGATGTCAGAATGCATCTGTACTGAAGTCTGCTGAAGACTTCTGCTCCCCTTTAGTAGTGTTATATCTTGCAAACAGTCTAATATGTGCAGTGTGGAGATAACATGTAGCTCTCTGTTTACTGCACAGCTGATGGAACATTTCTCTGTTCATGCCATTATCTGTCTGGAGCTGTCAAACTGCCTGTGGGATGGTCCCAGTACAGCACTTCAGCCTGCTGAAGGCCAAGTTTGGTGGACTGGGGAATTCTGGTCATGGTTTTGGTCTTCTGCCAGTCCCAGCAGCAGAGCTGAGTGTTAATGCTGGCCACTTCACCCTGGCAGGGAACCACAGACAATAATGTCAAGGCAGAATATTTAATCTGGAGTTAATGCACCAGTGAATTTCTTTTCCCTTTCACTGCAGCTTTTGGAGAACAACTTGGAAGTCACATCAAATACCACTAGCTAAGCAGCCCCATGTCCATCTCTTCACTGCACTGAAAGCACCACCTCTCCTGAATGCCTCCTCCTAACCCCTCAAACCTTAATCCTGTCCAAAATGATAGCTACACACACACACACACATCCCACCCTTTCTAGAATGTACTGTGTCTGTTCCTGACATCACACATTTGAATGAGGTTCAGCTCTCAGTAGTTTTAATTATCACCTTTCTGCTAAGGGCATGTAAAACCATAAATGGGCAGAAGTTACCTGACAAATCCTAATACCAATAGTCAGGGTGGACAGAAAAGAATATTACCAAGTTAGGGAGTCAGTCAGAAAACCCATGAGATCAATGCACCTTAAAAATGAAATTCTGGTATTTGGAAGCTAAATTTTTTTTGGCCCAGATTTCATTGTGTCAGTAGTTCATATTAGAGCATGTTTGTTTACATCCCTTATGCTGTAGATAAAACAAAGTGGTGGAAGAGGGAAGTGATGAGGCAAATCTCTCTTTGTGTGAACTTTGCCACAGTCCTTTTACTGAAGTTTATATGATAAATTGTGTGCAACGAGTTATAAAATTAATCTTTTCCAGGAAATGCTCTAACTTTTAATAACAGTGTTCAGTAAAAATACTTCTACAAACCTCTTTGTCTTCTGAAGAGTTTGGTTTACTAATTCAATTCTTATTTCTGTACATAACTTCTTTATTAAAAGTTTGATTGCCTAATACAGTGCATGGAAGTATTCAAGAAGTTTTCTAGTTCCTTTTGTGCTGTGCATAAATGTTGTATGAGGTATGATAGTTGCATTTCCAGTATTTGTATTGGTCCCTATTTAGGAGCAGGCACATAAAACTGAAAGCATTGACCTGTAAGTACTTAAATGTGAGTAACTTCATTTTCCCTTGATACCCAAGTTAAGCTGCGTGTCAAGGGTCAGTGTTGGGCCCAGTTCTC